TTTCGCTATTCCTCATTTGTAATCCACAATTAAATCTTGTTCTAAAGTGCTTCTAAAACGTACGTGGTAGGATATGAACATGTCGCTTATTTTAATAGGAGCAAAATTGTTTGGTGTCTCTTCCTTCTCATTGTTGTGTAAAGAGAAGAGGCTGCAGTGTTTCACCTCATTGCCTATATGAATTGGGAAATTATTCATCTTCTGCTGTCAAGAAAATATAATAAGTTCTTATTTATAATTTTCTAATTTGAATAGGCCATAACAGGATGATCACATATTCTAGTTTAACCAAGATAATTCCATTTGTATATTGTTTGTGGTGCAATTATTAACAGTGCTCTCTTTCATTTTCAATCAAGGTTCTATGTTGGTATTTAAAATATACACTTACCCTAGCCATAGCAGTTTTCTGAAAAGGAGAAGAGAAGAGAGTTTTATTGAGCAGGTGTGATGAGAGTGGAATAAGAACCTGAGACAAGTTTTCTGTGGGCTCTGTGTGGGATGTGGGCCATATTAGCCTGGATGCTGTTTCTCAATCTGATTTGCAGGCAATCTGATTTGTCTGACAAGCTTTGTATGTGGTATTTTCTTAAACTGAAATGCTCTTTCTCCTTATATTTGCATGCACTTCATTTCAGTTCTTGCTTAAAAATGAGCTTGTTAGAGAGACTATCTGTGGCCATCCTACATTAAGTAGGCATCCATTTCCATCAATCTCTACTTGTGCTGCTTGATGTTCTTAATAAAATCTATTCCTACTAGACATATTATGTGTTTATATTTTTATTTTCTGTATAGCTGCTGTATCTCTGCATTAGAATTTAAACTTTTTGAGGGAAGGGAATCTGTCTGTTTTGCCTGTTTTATTTCCTGCTATAACCTCAGTGCCTATAACAGTGTATTTCTGGCACTTTATGTATGCTCAATAAGTAGTTGTTGAATGAAGGCACTCATTCATCTTGTATAACAGATGTCAGGTTAATCTCCCAACTGTATACAGTCTGCATCAACCACCTTCTGCTCAAAGTGTTTCATCAGTTCTTCATTCCTACAGAATTATGTCTAAAGAATCTTAACCTGGGGTTTCAAACACTATGGGTAAATGGAGCAGGGCAGGAATGGACAGTACTTGTAAATATTATGTTAGGTATTCTATATATAAGAAACTAATTTACAATGTGAAGAAGATCAAGAGGGATTACATAACTTGAAAATATAATTAGTAGGAGAATGTAGGTTTAAACTGAGAAAGATCGCATGAAATGATAATGATGACAACGACATCACAAAACAATTGAAATCTACCTAGTTTCATATCAAGAGAAGGTCTTGATAAACTAAGGCCACTGGAAAGATGATTTGTATAACACCTGGCTCAATCTAAGGCATATACTGAATACTATTGACAAAAAAGTGAGACTATTTCAACAGAGCATTGGGAACCACATTACTCCAGGAGCAATGGCACAACTGGGTCTGTTTCTTTTCCCTTGAAAAGCGTTAGGGATGTAGAATAGCTGTTTTTCAAAGAATATTAGATGGATCACCACATACTAGAAGAATAGACATGGTTCGTGTAACACCAGAGAACATAAATAACTCTCATAGTTTTAAACAACCAGAATTGGAAAGATCTGAGCAACAAAATAAAGTAGTATTGGGTTATACCAAATCTATAAAATAAACATCTACGATTCTATAAATAATTGAATAAATAAATAAATGGTGGGGGCCATAGGCAAATCTCCCGGGTAGAAGAATTCAAAAACATTTATGTAGCTACCCAGCTTTCAAGGGGATAAACCATTACTCTCCATTCCCTGAGTATGGGCTGCACATATTAACTTCCTTTTAAAGAATACAGAATGGGAAAGCATCAGCAGTGATAAGTCAAATTCATAGTATACCTCCTTGATATGATGTGATCAAATGGCACTCTGCCTCTGTGGTCTTCCTACCCCAAACCCATAATCCAAGTATAACCATAAAAAAAAAATCAGGCAAATTTCAATGGAGAGACATTCTGCAAAACATCTGACCAGTTGTCCTCAAAACTGTCAAGGTCATCCAAAACAAGGAAAGCCTGAAAAATTGTCACAGCCTAGAGAAGCCTAAGGAGACTTGATGACTAAATGTATGTAACGTCCTGAAAAAGAAAAAGAACATTATGTGAAAACTAAGAAAATCTGAAGAAAGTATGGATTTTAGTTAACACTAACATATCAATATTTGTTCAACAGCTGTAACAAATATACCATCTAACATATGATGTTAATAGTATGACTCCAAGTGCCACACACCACATGAGGTTTTCACTGCGGACACAGTGAACAACTAGCAGCTGTGGAGGCAAACTTTGTAGTATCAAGAGGGTGAGATGCTCCCTGGTTCCCACTGGAGGATGTGATTGTCTTATTTGAATTATTCCATGGCTGCAGGGAACTGAAACCCACTGCTCAGAGATAAGCAGAAGCTGCACTGGGTCCATTTAATAAAGAATGTTGTTTGGTTAGGGGACTCTACTGCAGGAACAGAGTGGGGAGGGGAAAGAACAATTAGGCCATTCAAGGCCCTCCTGGCTTCAAATGTCAAGGTAGCACCCAACATTGATTTTAGGCCTTACAGAACAGGGGAGTATTTGTTATCTCTCTGTATTATTTTCACAGCTCTTGTGTAAATATAAACCTGTTCAAAAATTAACATTTTATTTAAAATAATGAGCCATAATGATCAAGGAGAGCCCCAATATTAGAAGTGTTCAAGCTGAAAGAAAGTCTGGTTCGAATTTACAGTTGAATTAGAATTTTAAGCTCCTGTTGAAACTTGTTGATGTAAATAACTATATGACTGTGATAAGATTAGTCTTATGTTATTACCTACTGGGAGGCAGAATTCTGTCATTGTTTAAAGGGCCGGCCTCTGGGTCAGAATGAATATATTTGAATACTGCAAGATCAATTATTACCTTGATGACTTTGTTAGGTTCTTTATCTTCCCTAGGCCTAAGCTGCCTCATTCGGACAATGGGTATAATAACAGTATCAATGACAATGGTTGTAATAAGTATTAAATGAAATAATCCTCAGATAATTGTCTTTCTCTGTCTACATAACTTTCTTCTTGCCTTCCTATTTAAAAAAAAATATTCTTTGTAGTAACTTCCAAATCTCTCAGTCTAACTCAACATAATTTTCAATTATATCAGCATTTCTGTCCTTCATTTGCCTGCACTTCATTCACGTTTAACTTCCGCAAATATTTTAAAATAATTATCCTATATTCTCCTATTCCCATATATGCTTTTACTAACATTCTCTCAATTTTACCTGCAGTCAATAGACAGATGAAATGTTCCAATACTCAATTCAGATGCCACCTCATTAATAAATCATTTCCTGTTATTTACAGCCAGAACAGACCACTCCCTCATCCAAGTTACTTTAGCACTCTGTTTTCACAACTCTTATTGTACTCACCACGTTACGTTTTGCATTAGAGTTATATGTAGGCTTTATTTCAACTGTTAGATGATAGACAGTAAGACAGAATCTCTGCATTTTTTCACCTGCATTTCTTTCATAGCACTGGGCAAATTTTGGGTTCTGGCTCCATACTGACATTTGGTAAATCTGAGTTAACGAAGGCAGTTATACTTCTTCAAAGTACTTTGGTTTCATATGGTCAATATCTCTGCAAAAACCATTTGGATATTTGTGAATTCTTGAGCTGATAAATGCTTAAAATTCAATCACTGTCAATTTGGCTCTAAGCCTCATTGACGCAGGATCGAGACTCAAAAGCAACATATGCCTACCAATAATTAGCTGTCATCTTCAAGCAAAAGTTACAGCAGGGGAGAGTAAGAGAAGCTAGTTGGAAAATATAATTTTGACTTTGTAGCTTACTTTTTTTGCTGCATCTTGTTGAGTCATTGTCAATTGGTGGCAACTATGAGACAGTTCTTGTAGGAATCCACCAAGCAGAAAATCTATATATTTTAATATGTTTCTCCCAGTTGTGAGGTAGCAGTCACTTAGCTGGAACATCGATTCACAAACCCAGTGCCAGTTATTTCGCTTGTCTTTTCTCAGTGCTTTTTGTGTCACATTCTCTTCGGAAATTGGGTCAAAATGGAAGATCAACATCACTGGAAGTTTTCAGATTTGTTGTTTCTGTGAAAATGTACTAATGTTGCATGGTGATACTAGCTTTTTACACAACAGCTCCTCATGTTTCTGAAAATAAAATCCTTAAAAGCATTCTCACTGTCAACTGAACTCATGAAGAGTAAAACATGGTTTCTCTATAGGTGTCTTCGGTTTATGGTCATGGAGACACACTCTATCACAAAGAGTGGAGCTTGGCCTGGCCAGTGGCAGAGTGGTTGAGTTTGTGTGCTCTGCTTTGATAGCTCAGGGTTCCTGGGTTCGGATCCTGAGTGCAGATCTACATATGCTCATAAGCCATGCTGATGCGGTGTCCCACGTACAAGATAGAGGAAGATTGGCACAGATGTTAGCTCAGGGACAATCTTCCTTCCCCACCTCTCAAAAAATAAATAAATCAAAAGTTCAAAAAAAGAGTGCAGCTAGAATTCCTCTATCATAAATAATGCAGGTAAATTGTTTCCATATACATATTTTTACCATCACCAACAGATGACCTGGACTGTCTTTGTGACATGACACTGACCAAAAAAGAAAATCTTGCTGATGACATAAACCACCACACTCAAAAACCCATAGAATCTATCACATACTAAATGGGTTAAAATATCTTAAAGGCCTTCATTGGAGTACTCTTTAGAAAATTCTCTGAGATATACCAGCCAACACTTAGCTAACGTATATTAGCTATTAACATTTCTAATAAAATAAGATTACGTATAATTTATTTATACATATAAATAAAAGTTTCCTGTATATATTAAGTATATTATATTTATATGCTTGAAAACAAAGTAAATTATACAATTTTAAATATCTTTCTGGTAGGGTCATATTTATTCCAAAAGCAATTAATGTGATTCAGTATATTTAAAATAAAGAGAAAATACTGATATAATATATGACTCCATAAATGCTGTCTTTATTTTCATACTTTTAGGTCTACATTAATGATAGTAATTTTTAACTTCATATTTAACTTTTAATTATGATGTTTCCTATAATCACCTTCAAACTCACGTTCATATGCAGAGGCATATCTCTCTTAGAGTTACAGATTTTTCACACAGGTATTGGGGGGAATCATTCCATCAAATCTATTCACTTCAGTGATCAGGAAATAGACCCTTAGAAATAAACTGACCTGTCTGAGGTCAACCTGTGCTATTGGTTTTTAGTACTATGGTCGGGTCCGTTTACCAAGAAGATGGTAAAAGTATAAAAAGAGTGGCTCAACAATGAACATAAGGATTAAAATAGTCTCACAGCAAAGCCCATACCCTGTCCTATGTTATTTTTGAGGTAATATCAGAGTCTATTTCAAATGGAATTTCAAACATTTAGGTCCTTTTGTTTCCGAGTCTGTTGAAGGCTGGAAGTAGCAAGTTCGGCTCTCGGAGTGTGAGGGATGGAGAAGGCAGAGACCACTGGGAGCAGTACAAAATGAGCTGTGACAGCACAGGAGACCAAACTGTGTAAAAATAGGAAAGATGTCTTTAAAAATCCACTTTTATGGGTTTATTCAATGGAGAAGCAAATCATCCCACACACTTTAAAAGCGCCTGGAGAGATGTGCATACGCCACTTACTACAATAATGATGGACCTAGGTATCGCGGACATAGACAGACAGACATTGCATGTATGCTTTTATAGAATGAAGGGTAGTGCTTGACAGACATCAGCAAGGGTTCTAGCCACAATAGGTGATATAAGATAAACTTCCTTATAAGGATAACTTTCAGTTATCCAGGAAGTACACTTACTGGACCACCTCCTTTCCTGACAAAGCTAGCCAGATGAGATGATAATCTGTCACATGTGTGTTTTCTGAAGGTTAAGAAATTGAATAAGAATAAATGAGTAACGACAAAAAAAAGCAAAACCTAATGTTGCCATGTGATTGAATGTGGAAGTGTTGACTAGATGTGTTCATAGAGTGTGAGCGAGCATGCATGTGTGTGTGAGAGAGACAGAGAGAGAGAGAGAAGAGTTGGGAATGTATAAGAATTGTAATTGCTGATTTTATTTTACCTACTGGATGTATATACTAGTTTAGTCTGATAGGAAAATAAGACAAACTCAAATGTGCAAATGGAATAAGGATGGTTTAGCTGGACAAACACGTGCAATATATATTCCATTATTTTATTAATTCTCTTGCATCTACTTTTCTTACCTATCTTTCACCTTCCTCTAGAAGTTCACTTTTGCAAAGGAGACTTTGCAAAAAGAATTGCCTGCATCTCTTTATAGTTTACACCAAATGTATGAGTAGATAGGGAGGATAATGACGCAACAGGTCAATATCTCCTTTGCCCATCCTCCAAAAACATTAGAAAACTGTACTGTGAAGGAAGAGAGAAGGACAATGAAGGAAGAGGGAAATGTACAAATTTATATGTGTTGTGAGATTAATTGAAAAGCCCTAACAAAGGACAGTGTGGAAGGTGGGTGTGGATTGGGGGTGTGAGGAGAAGACAGGGTGGAGCCAAAGAAAATTAGGATGTTTGGGGACTAATGAAAGCTAATTTTTAAAAGCAAGACTCAGCAAATTTATCTCAGAAACATCAATCCTTCCACCTGTTTCTGACATAGTCTTTGTATCTTATCTACTTATTTTCATGTTTGTAATGATATATTGTAAAATTTAAGATAATTTCTTTAGAAATTTATAAAGAGAAAAATTATACTTGTTAAACACTTTCAAAAACCTGGCATTTGTTTTTTCCAGGTAGAATTATATTGTAAAACGTAAGTAATAAAAAATACTAGAGTACATGGAAATACCTGAGCCATAAAGATAAATTATAAAGACTGGAGTTCTACATGTAAATGACATCATTGATAATTTCATAAGCCTGTATTTTAACTGTGTTGCACTTTACTTTTACAGGGTAATTTCATTGGGTATAGATTTTGTTTGTCCTTTCCTTGTTGAAAAAGATTAAATTAAAAAATACGTTTCAAAGCTATTAATTCTAGAGACATTCATTTATCTTTACAGACTCCTTCACTGCTATTGCAATAATATCTACCTTCCCCAAAATTCATATGTGGATTTGAGTGTATCCCCAGTCTGTCTGGGGCCAGAAGAAATTTCTTAAAAAATGTAACTAGATTATACACGTTCTGGTGTACTTTGCCAGCAGTCTGAGAACAGACAAAAGTCTAGAATGGAGCCCTTGAAATTCTGACTCAGGATTTGCAACCTCTAGCGACAGGTAGAATCTCAGAGGTAACTGGTATGAATTGGCTTGACAACACTCAGCAGCAAGAAATGTCTTGTTTCTGTATTCTTCTAACTCAATTTTCTCTTTCTTGAGCTCCAATTTTTCAGGATAGGTGGGAAGTTCAGTCTTCAGTCATCATTCAGGTTTTTCATCATCCCTCAGTTAGGTCCTAAAAGAAGGCCAGCTTGTAGGTGGGCCCAGGGGAGTGAGGAAGGTGTTTTTATCTTGGTGTTACTCAGCGTTGCCCCTTAGGTTAAGATTAAGTGTGATGCTTCACTTTCCATCAGGCTCTGCTGTCTCCAGTGCAGCAGGAGATGCCTCTCACAGTAGTTCTCCCGCTGGGAGGATTATTCACAGCAGGCCCTCACAACATTGTCAAACACATGCATTTGGGTGTACCATCTTTGAGGGCTTACCACAGCCAGTCCCATCAGAAGTCCTACCACACTTGGACCCAGGTCCACTTCATGGGGTGCAACCAGAGCAGCCTAGAGGGTCTTGCACTCTGAAGGACACTGCACTTAGAGTTTAACACTCTGTGGTTGAAGTCCTAAAATTCTTAATATTTTTATCTTTGCACTTGTGTTTTATAAGTGGAATCTGATGGGACAACAGAGCATGCACTGGGGGCATGGAGCCTCAGTTTCCAAGAGCTCCCACCTCCTACAAAAACTCTTCTCCCTCTGCTGAACAGGTTCTCAGTGCCTGTTCCCCAACCCCTTGGCACCCTGAACCCCTCCCAACTTACCCCTCCTCCCAGATCAACTACGGTGGCTACACTCCCCGAGCCTGGACTGGGGCCAGGCAAGGCATGGGAGCCAGGAGGGAGGGTTGGATGCATCCCCAGTGTATCTCCATGTGGAGCTTGGAGGTAGCTGTCTCAGCCCAAAGTAGGGAGGAAACATCTGGGACACTGGATCCAGTCAGTGTCCAGCGTGTCCCAGCACAGAGGGTGCAATCCCTTGGTGGCCACCAGTCTGCTGTAGGTGGGGTAATGGTCCTTAAGGAAGGGACCGTTATCCCTTTTCTTCCAGGTCTTAGCTTTATTCTGACCTCCCATATTCCTCATAAGTATGATTAGTCCTCTCTCTGCTTAAATATTTAATGAATTAAATTCATTATACGTTTTGATAAATTAATGAATGTTTAAGTATCTAAAAATGAGTTTAATTAATAAAGAAAATCTAGCATGCTAGTGCCTACTAAGTGTCAGGTGGAGTTGGCAGTGGGAAACAGTGGTGGCTAAATGTAGTCCTTCTGTGCAAGGTTTCAGAGACTAGTAGGAGAGACAACCAAGGGGTCAATAAACTACAGCAACATGACCATGCTTTACCAAGGTCTGTGAACATTTCTTACCTCCTGAATCCCCATACAAGAAAGAAAGTGTTTTCCGGTTCCGTAGAAAAGGAAAGACTGTCCAGGCAAGGTGAATCACGTGCACAGTCTGAAAAACACAAACACATAATAGGTCTCATCAGAAATAATTTTTCTTCAGCCTCAAACTACGTCATCTCTTTCACTGTTATTTAATAATGGTGCTCACTAGTCTCAATTCCTTACGCTCTTCAGACTGGTCTATTATGTCTATTGTTCATTGATGCTCTTATATGTTATATTATTTATATATTTATTGTTATTGCCTGACTTTTATTGTCTCTATCATTTAAGGATAGTGGGTAAAATTTTGATGAGACACATTAAATAAGCTTTCAATGGTAATGATGGCAAAGCCCCAATTCCAGAAATTTCTACTGTGTCCCTGTTCAGTACATACCCTCTTTCCTTGCTCCTGAGTTGAGAGCTGTTTTGGTTTTTTATCACCACTGATTAGTTTTGCCTATTCTTGGACTTCCTATGAATGGAATCAAGCGATATTGACCTGTTTTTGTGTCTTGATTCTTTCGCTCAACATATGTTCAATGATGTTTGTCCATGCTGTTTCATATAGCAGTAGTTTGTTCAATTTTATTGAATTACAGTGTTTAATTTATAAATATACACAATTTATTTATCTATTCTCCCGTCAGTGGTTGCTTGGGCCATAGACTATGTCACTGACGCTCAAATTTTTGGCCTCCGGAACTCTTTACACTCTTGTAAATTATTAAGCCCCCCAAAGATATTTTGTATTTAATGTGTTAAAAATTAAACAGATTCCGATTTAAACTCTCTTGGGTATATACTCAGAAGTGGGGTTGCTGGAACATATTGTAGCTCTATTTTGTGTGTGTGTGTGTGTGTGTGAGGAAGTTTGGCCCTGAGCTAACATTTGTTGCTAATCTTCCTCTTTTTGCTTGAGAAGGATCATCACTGAGCTAACATCTGTACCAATCTTCCTCTATTTTATGTGGGATGCCACCATAGCATGGGATGACGAGCAGTGCTAGTTCTATGCCTGGGACCTGAACCTGTGAGCCCCGCATGGGGAAGGAGAGGACTCAAACTTAACCACTGTGCCACGAGCCAGCCCCTCGTAGCTCTATTTTTAATTTTTGAAGAACATTCATACTGTTTTCCACAGTGACTCTACCATTTTACGTTCCCATCAACAGCAGACAAGTGTTACAATTTTTCCACATCCTCACCAACACTTAATTATTTTTTGATTGTAGCCATCCTAACAGGTATGAGGTGATATCTCATTGTGGTTTTGATTTGCTTTTCCCTAATGGTTAAAATTGAGCACCTTTTCCTATACCTGTTGGCCATTTAGATGACTTCTTTGGAGAAATGTCTATTCAAGTCCTTTGCTTATATTTTAATCAGGTTATTTGTATTTTTGGTATTGAGTTATATGAATTCCTTATATTTTTTGGATATTAACCTCTTAACAGATATTAGAAATAAGTTCTTCCATTCCATAAGTTGCTATTCCATAGGTTGCCTTTCAAGCAATTAAAACAATGCATTGTTTCCTTTGCTGTACATAAGCTTATTATATTGATGTAGTGAAACCATCTATTGTTGCTTTTGTTGCCTGTGATCATGATACAGTACACTTAAAAATTGGTTAAGAGGGTAGATCTGATGGTAAGTGCTCTCACCATAGTAAATTTTTTTATGTACTAAAATTTAATGGTTTCATCATTGCTGTTCTTAAATAATATAAATACATATTCAAAAAATAAACAGAAAAGAATGTTATATATGCACTTATTTTTTAATAACAATAATAAACCCATTAATGCTATATAGTATCATTATACACTATATGGTTATATATGTTATACATTACATACATTACATATGTAATATATGTTTTACATTACACCCATTACATATATTAGTATGATATGGGTGGAGTACTACAAAAATACACATGTGATTATTTACTGAGCTCTATATTAAATGAGAACACAATGTTCTTTACTGTATATGTTATTCCTCTGAAGAAGCTAAAAAGAAAATACAAATACTAATAAATAAATGGAAAAACTGAAAATGGAGTGCTTCATCCTCAGTGTTTTCTAATATGGATGAATTCAAATGTGCTCACAATTAAAGCAAATAATCATATTAATAGTTTTGAAAGTATAAGAACTGTGAAGAAACTCATTAAAGAAGAGATGTACTATTCATTCCCTGGGTTTCAAAAGCCTGTCTTCTATTATTTATCAGATTTTATTGGGTTGGAGATAAAGAACAGTAAATGTGTAGCAATTGCCAGAGTGGTTTTATTGTTTTCAATCAGCCTTTTTTCACTTTCAGCTGCAGACAATGGTCAAAGGTTATAGTTTCAGAGGGCAGTAGATTTTCTTTCTGATCCTCTCTTCTCCTGAGTTTGATGGTTGATATACTTTGGTCATAAGGTTAAGTTTCTGTTGTATACCTATGAGACTAAATTGTGATAGAAACACTATCGATAATAAGTAGTACAAATCCTACTCTGGCTATCAGCAAATTACAAATTAGTATGAATCTAACACTTGTGTTTATTTTAGCAATATAATTCCATCAAGTGGCTGGCTCCATCCAATTTCCTTTTTTTAGGAGAGGAAAATTTTTTCCTATCCAATTAACCTATTTTTCACAGAGTTCTTGTCTTCATCTTCAAACCTCAAAGACCTGCATACTGAAAAACACAGGAATACATAGAAACAAGGAGCTCACTGTTTCATAGAAATTCTGTAATTACCTAAATATTATTATTTGATTTCTAGAAAATATTTTATTCCCACAGTTGTTATTTGTGTTTTCTAAACATGAGCGTCAGTACAAATATTGGGCTAAAGTTAATGTTTACAACGATCCATTATAATACTTAACACCTTTACAAATCCTACACACTTTCATTTTTGGTGAGGAATATTGTCACTGAGGTGACATCTGTGTCAATCTTCTTCTATTTTAAATGTGGGATGCCACCACAGTGTGGCTTGATGAGTGGTGTGTACATCCATGCCAGGGATCTGAACCCACAAACCCCAGGCTATTGAAGTGGACCACACTGAACTTAATCACTATACCACCAGGTTAGCCCAAAATCCTACGCAGTTTTTAATCCTAACTTCATTTTCAGGAAACAGAATAACAATTTAGCTGTAAGTTGCACTTAAAAGTACATTAATAAAGTTTTCCACATTTAAACATTGTACAATTGTGCAAAATAAACTTTTACAGCAGATCCTGTCATAAAGACAGTCTATTTTATTCAAAATTCTCAAAGAAAAAAAATGAAAGCCATAAGAGAGGAGAGAAGAAAACTATTAGAATCACAGGAATTTGAAGATAAAAGGAGCTTTGAGATTAGGTAGAATGTAATTTACCTTTAAAGGCAATTTTTTTAATGTATAAATATATATGAATGCAGAACCATTATTGGGAAGTTCCCCTGTCTCTGGATTAATTTAGGGCAAGCTTCATAACATTTCTGGAAAAAATAGTTCTCTGCTTAGTTGCATTTACAAAACAGAGTTCTTTTTATAATAAAATAATAAATACATCTAGCCTAGGATAACCAAAACTATGATAATGAAAACTTCAAAGCCATTTACAACGTCTTTCTTTTACAAGCTCTGGGCCGCATAAACTGGCCACTCGGGAGCTGGTCACTTGGGGATTGAGTCAGCTCATCTTTTCTCTTCTTCACCCTGCTAACCCCACTCCCACCAGCTTGATAACTGTGATTGCTATCCCTTAGAAGTCATAGCAGGGGGGATGGTAGTGACCTAGCAACACATTCTTTGGAGCTAGTGGTGTTCAAATTAGATTTTTTCTAATAGCCTGTTTTCATCAATTCTTTACAGATGCCCCATTCTCTTGTTGATGGCTCATTTGAAGAGAAAGATATATTCTCCTTTAGCTGGAAGCTTTTAGCTCAGTCTCTGGGAATCAAGTAGCCACTTTTGGTGCATCTCAAGGTTGCCCTGTTGGACAAGATCTCACATTTGTTCTATGAGAAATACTTCTACACTCTTCACCCAAACACTGAGTATGCAATTCAATGCGTTAGCAATTCCATCTTACTCCAGGCTCACGGAACCTAATCAGAGAATCATTCATTCAGCACACTGACCCTAAAACCACAGAGAAGACATTTAAGTGCTTCAAGTTTCTCATTTGACTTAAGGTGAAGGGAGAAATAGTCATTATCCCTTTCTATTTGGATAATGAGGCGAATCTTACAGCACACCAACAACTAACTCCAAAAATCTCCTAACCTACCTCAAGGCTTTTCCTGGCTTCTCAAAATTCTTTTATAGGCAGAAATTATACGAAAATCTTAGAGTAAACATCTAAATTTCTTCGCTCTTTTATGTAAGTATTACTCGGTGGTATGACATCTCACATTTGAAACAGTTGGATTCAACCAACATTGACAATCATAGAGTTTCTTTTAATGTTCTCTTATATGTGATAGTCTTTATGACCCAGTTTCAGATGATATCCCACAATTTTCAACAATCAATGGCTGTCACACTTCCTATGTAGTACATGCTGAATATTTTGTGACTTTGACCTTACCCCTCTTGAAACTATGAAAGGTAACAAGTCTGTAAGCTGGAAGAGCTCATATTCAGAATGAGTTTAGATGGGCTTGTCAGTGAATTGTGCTTTATTTCTGCCTAATAGTGGAGGGGTGCTGTGGTAGGCACAATAATGTCCCCCCCCCCCCAAAGTTGTTCATGTCCTAATCCACAAAGACTGTAACTATGTCACCTTACATGGAAAATGGACTTTGCAAATGTGATTAATTTAATGATCTTGACACGGAAAGAGTATTCTGGATTTTCCTAGTGGGCATAATGTAATCACAAGTTTCCTTATAAGGAAATGAGGGAAGAAGGAGGGTCAGAGAAGATGTGATGTCAGAAACAGAGTCAGAGAAAGAGAAAGAGAGAGAGGTTTGACAAGGCTACATTGCTGGCTTTGATGAAGGGAATGGGCAATGATCCAAGGAATGCAGACAACCTCTGGAGGGTAGAAAAGGCAAGCAAATGG